CTCACCGGATCAGCGTATCTGGATGTGGGCGGACCCACCTGGAGACACAGAGGAGCGGCGTCTTGGTTCCTAAGACCATCGGAAATATGTTTTCCGATGGTCTTAGGCGACCCCTGTGAAGGGGTCGTTCGACCCACAGGTTGAGAACCGCTGGTCTAAACTGATCATTACAAGTGCTGTGTCTGTAGAGGTTGACGTCTCTGCTTCCCCACTTTCTCCTTGAGGTACACTGTTGCAGTGTTGGTAGAATGCTAGTAAAATAATAGTGAGTGTGGGAAACAACAGTCCATATGTGTGAACTTTAGGGAAAAAAGAGGGCAGAGCCAGTGTAAGGACATGTGGTGGGGTGGGCAGAACTTGAGTTTGACCTCTTAACTCCAGTTTTCTTTCTTCCTCCGATATATTCTACCACCTTCTCTGCTCTGCAGCCCTTTATACTGGCAGTGCATTGAGCTTCTTGACCGCAGTGTGCCCATCTCCGTACTCTCTCCTTGCTTCAGATCTCATCCCACGGAGAGCAGCCCATCTACTCACATCTGGAGTTGTCCTGTCGGTTTCCCTCACTCCATTTTAAAAAGTGAAAGGGGCTGTCTCATTGTTCAGAAGTGACTGAGGGCTGATGGCTAATGTGAAATATGAGGAAACTTGTGAAAAATTAAGTGTGAAGATAAGGGCTTGATAAGAATAAAAGTCCTAACTAATCAGTTCAAACCCTTGGTATAGAGGATATTATGTATGTCTGCGTACGTACACACACACACACACACACACACACACACAAACGGAGTGGGGGTCGGGGGGAAAAGCCCAACGAATGATCATGTGCTCATTTCATTCCTGAGGATCTCTCTGGCTGTACTTCCTCCAAGACGGGCTTGCGCGTTCCTCTGGCAGTTCACGATATATGTGTATTCTTGGATCAGGTGCTCTATTTGTCCTCAAAGAAATGTCTTTCTTTTGATACTTTCAAAGAGGTCCTTGTAGCAGATTTGTCCGATGCAACATGTTATTCAGCTTTCTTGACTGCTGCTTCCATGGGCTTTGAATATGGAGCTTAGTAAAGGGCAATTCTTGACAGCATCGATATTTGTTGCTTATTGGTCCTGTGAGAGGATTTTGCTCTCGTTATTTTGAGGTGTAATCTACACTGAAAGCTTTAGCTTTTGATCTTTATCAGTAAGTGCTGCATGCCCTTTTGCTTTCTGCAAGCAAGGTTGTATCTGCAGATCACAGGTTCTCAGAGAGCCTTCCCCCAACCCCTGAATCTACATTCCTCTTCATAAGGCCCCGCTTCTCTGATGGTGTGTTCATCATCTAAAGTGAATAAATATGGTGAAAGGTTACAACCCTGACAAACTCACTTCTGACTTTAAGCTGTGAAGTATCCCCTTGTCACGGTTAAGGTTGATGTTACGCTGTTGCATCTGTGTGGAGGTCGGGCTGGAGTCCGGCACAGCCTGATGACGGCACTTCCTTAGGGGTATGGCCTTTTCTTCGGAGATCCTGAGGAGAGCTACTGGTCTCTCACTTGCCCCTCTTTGCCTTCCTGCGGGCTTGGATTCTATGTCTGGCTCGGGGTGGTCACCTTGCTGACCATGGAAGCTGCAGCATCCGGCCATGTTCCTGTCCATCCTGAATCCACATGACTGTGCATCCCCCAGCCTGTGGTCTCCCTGCTTCCTGCTTCACCTTCCTGCTACATCGGCTGGTGGCTGCATGATTCTGGAGGAGACTCCAGCTAGCATCTAACCCATGGACTTGCATTGGACTGGGACAGACAGCTTCCTTGACATACAATTCTTTCTTGATATAAACTTATTTTGTTACGTGCATGTCTTGGTTTTGTTTCTCTAAACAACTCAACCTAACACACTTCTTTGTCTTATTGAACGTCTTACTGTGTTTGACAGCTAGTGTTCATCCATAGCAAAGGTTCCCAGAGCGTACGACACTGCCCCCCCCTCCCGGGGGTGGGGGGGGAGAGGGGGGCATTAGATGATCCAGGAGGGCTGCCAAAGCACATCATTTCAACCTGATCCTGGATTATGGGCTACAAGGGATTGCCAAGGGAAGTGGACAGTAATTTTATTTTATTTTTCTGAAATAGGCAAATAATTTAGGCCCTTGCCATCAGTAGTGTCACAGTTGAGTGTGACAGTAGAAGGTCTCTGAGCAAGGAAGTCACCTTGTCACAGAGGAGGACTCTGCAGTTCAGAGGCTGGTGTCACTCTGGGGAGGCAGCTCTGCTGAGCAACCAGAGAGGGGAAGAAAAGGGCCCCCAGTGCCCACAGGTCTTCTGGAGTGTCCTCCCTGCTCCCTCCCTCGTCCCTTCAGGACTGCATCTGCTGGTGGTGAGCAGCACCCACTCTGCCACCCGGCCTGCCGGGTCGGTTCAGCAGATTGGCGTTGAGAGACTTGGCGTCAAGCTCACTAATTTTGGCTTTCCTGTGTTTCCATTCTATAGGTTTTCTTCTTCTAGTGTATTGTCTGCTTTTGAATCTTACCGGTCTTTAGATTTTCTGTATGCTGTTTAAAGATTTTTCATTTTTCAGTTTATTCTTGCAATGTGTTCCTGAATTATTCTGTTTGTTCCTATGGTTTTTTAAAAAAAAAATTATTTAATGTGCAGCTTTCTCAGTCATCCTGCTCATCCATTAAACGGACGTACCTATCCTTCTTTTGAATTCCTTATCGTGCGGTTCCAGGGCCATCTCTTCCTCTGAAAGGGTTTCTGGCTCTGTCGTCTGTCGCTTGTTTGAGCCACGGTCTTGTTTCTTTGAAACAAGAGACCTGTTGTGTGAGGCATTGCGGTGTGGCACATCTGTCTGGACTGGATGGTGGTCTGTTTTTAGCCACTCCTGCGGAGTGTGATGGAGCACGTGAGCCTGCATAGTTCTCTGTTTGCTGTTCCAGTAGCACAGGTCACGGCGGCAGCTTTCCCTGGTGTCTTACCTGTGACCAGGTGGTACAGGGGGTGGGAGTGTCAGAGGAAGGGGTGTGGCTGGGCCATGTGTGCCCAGTTCCTGTCTCATCTCCAGCCACTGATGTGTGTTTGTGCTTGGAGACCGCTGTCTCCATTGAATGCCGCTTGCAAAAGTTCAAGATGGCTGCAAGTCGCCATCAGTCTCCTTAACGCTCCGCTTCAGCTTCCTCTCCTGCTTGACATTCAAGCCATTTCTCTATCCTTTACTCGGAAGCTCTGGGTTCAAGTGTCGTCATCCCTGTCTGTTTCATGTGGTCTCTCGTGTTTGTTGTAGAGAGGTTGTAGAGGTGTCTTCCATCTGTCATTGGCCAGAAGTCCGCACCTGGCTGTCTTTCAGCCTTTACCTCTTTTAGACCCTCAGGCTCAAAACCTGAAGCGCTGTCATTTTCTCCTCCTCTCCTCCACTCAGTTACTATTGAGCCCCTTTGGCTTTCCTGTGGTCAGTCTCCTTTCCTTTCAGCCTGATGGCCACCACTGTAGCTCAGCCTCTATTGTCACAGTGGCCCCTCCGAGACATTGGAATGAAATTTCAATCAGGGTGACAAAGAAGGTTTCACAATTTGGGAGCTCTCCTCTCATCACCAAATGCATATCCCAGACCTCTATGCCATGACTCAGTCACTAGTTCCAGAGTGTGACCTTGCTCTTACACTGTATCTCTTCGGATGCTTTGGAAGCGGGTGATGTTTCTTTTTGTGTGTACAAATGTTTCCTTTGCTGTCACGGTCTCTGCTTCTTGTGATTTAAGCAGTTTGTTTTTCTCATGGATCCTGATATTATAAATATATAAAATATAAAATAAAATTATATATATAAAAAATATAAATATATAAATATATATAAAAATATAAATTTTGTGAGACGGGGGGAGTGGGGGTACAGAAGCTTACAGTCTGTGCTCTCTTCTGAGCAGCGCCATCTCTCTCCTTAAACTGTGGCTCCTTTCTCGATCCTCCAGCTGAAATCCCCAAGTTTACAGATTTTTATGTATCTACTTACTACTTGTGTCTCTTTTTACACCTCTCCCCCCTTTGCCCATGTAGGTGCCTCTTCTTTCTGATTTTCCTTTCACGTTAATTTTTCTCAGAAATTCTTCCCAGGTGACCTGTACTTTTTGATAGCATTTGTGGCAGAAGTTACAGTTGAGTAAGCTTAGTTACGTAGTTGAGTAGTGTGGGAAATTGATTTTTGTTGAGAATAAAAGACTGATGAAATAAAAGTTATTTTACGCCTCACTGCCTCCTCCCAGCAGGATTAGGTGGGTGGGACAGTTTACAGCCTGAATTTCTTGAGTTTAACTAATAGCCTCTGAAACATGTTATTCACATGTTTAATTTTGTTGCCATCTGTTTTGGCCACAGATTACAGACTAGTTAATGACAGGCTTATTTGTTTTGTTTCATTTTGCAAATTGAAGGGTTTGTGGCAACATTGTGTCTAGCACGGCTATTGGTGCCATTGTTTTCCTACAGCAAGCGCTCACTTTGTGTCTGCCACATTGTGGTAATTCTCAAAGTATTTTAAACATTTTCATAATGGTATTGCATGCTTAGTATACTACAGTAATGTGACAGAACTGTTATATGTACTAGAAAACGTGTGTGTGTGTGTGTGTGTGTGTGTGTAACTAATTTTCTTGAGATACTCAATTTATTGTGATGGTGGAGAGAACCCATTGTCAGGATCCCTGCGCTATGCCTGATCTACTTCAAGGAGAAGATTTATTTTTGTGAATAGGTTATTTCTCAGGTGCTTCATACGTCATCTTTTTTTTTCTTATGACGGAAATTTTAGAGCTCTTTACTAAACATACTTTTAAGGTTCTAAAAGTATATCTAAACGTTTATGTTCCTTTAAAGTAAAGTGAAAACAAATTCTTTGAGCAGTTGAAAAATGGAAACTATAATCAAATTCGAAGTGAAGTACTGTATTTGAATGCTTACCAAGTATTGATTTTTCCGAATCACAAAATAATGATATGTTTGTTTACCCTTTCTTTTATCCCTGGACATTCTAGAGGGGTGTTCGATGCTTCCCTCAAGATGGCCGGCTTCTATGGATTGTACACTTGGCTGACCCACACTGTCTTTGGCATCAATATTGTTTTCATACCGTCAGGTGATGACCGTTCCATAGCTTCCGCTGGGCTCTGTTTACAGGAGCTAGGGCATTTTGCATGCATAAGGAAATGTCTTCATTGCCAACTTTGTAGCTAGAGTTCCAGTCCAGTGCAAATTAAGAACAGATAGATGATTTGTAATTTGTTTCTTGCTCCAAGTACAGAGGCTGGAACCATGTCAGCACACAGAAAATAATGCATAAATGTTTGTTAAGTGAATGACTACTTTAGCACTTGGCTATAATCAATACTTAACCATATAAACTGAGATGGTTGGTGGGAAAAGGAGTTGTCAGGTAGCCTGGTCCCACCTGGTAGACTGTCCTGGTGGCAAATTGAATACTTGTGAGGGCACATAAGCTGCTTTTATATCTCCCAAGATCTGATCTGGTAATACCATAATTTCATAAGCACCAGGTACCTACAGATTCTAAGGTTAAAGATCATATTGCTCTTTTGTTTCTTTGTTATTCTTTCCCCATTCTTTCTGTTTTGTCTTCTATATTTCTGTGGCTGCTTTTCTCCTTAAATAAATAATCCTCTATCTGCCTTCTCTATTTATCTCTATCAACGTGTTTTTCTCTGATCCTCCTTCCTTCTTTCCAACCCCAAGTTCGTTCATGTTCTTTCTATCTATTGCTCCACCCTCTGACATAGCAGGGTCCCTGAGAGCTCATGAAGATTCCTTGTTTTATTTGCACGCTGTGAAGCAGGCTGCTTTATTGATGAGAAACTAGAACTTTCTAAGTCCACACACCTGGAGAACAGTAGAGCCAGAACTAGAATGAGCATTTGCTGGCTTCTAGTCTGCAGGGCAGCCAGATGGAGAGCA